GGTCAGCAAAGGACGAGTGAGGGGTTCTCCTTGCCCGATGTCCGCTTTTATCCGAGTCAAAGATCTTGATGAGCAGGACTTCCTCCGTGGTCATCTCCGACGCATAGTACCACTTATGCGCGTCGGAATATCGGACGCGGAAACTGCCGAATGAGCGGCCCTTGCTCAGCTCCGTATACTTATCGCCGGTGGACTTGGACGGCAAATGCGTCGGGACGTCTACCAAGTCCTCCTCACTGGCTGATCGGGCATCGCATAACCCCAGCGGATCCCGCTTGATTGGCTCCAGGGGCCGCCAGACGTTGATGATCGCCCATCGGGATTTCTGCAGTCGTTCGACCTCATCCTCACTCATGTTGTCGTGGAGGATGTCGTAAGCACCGGTCTCGGACTGGTCGATATGCACTGCTCTGGCGGGGGCCACATTGCCGGCATAGCTGGTGCCTGGAGTCGAGGTTGCTGCCATCCTCTGCATCTCCTCGAAGGATGCGCTGCGAATCAGATGGGAGAAGACATGGACGCGCGTGGCTCCGGCACTGAGACATCAGATCTTAGTGACTGAATGTAACAAAGAATTGTAGAATCTGTCTCTCACATCTCTTTCAACATCGCCGCTGTCTCGGGATACATCTCGTGGACTACGGTGCTCGTATCAGCACCGCTGACATGTTGGCTGATGTGCGGATGCAACATGAACCCATGAGTGTCCAGGCTGAAGTCTGCCTCTCGTCCGCGGATGTCCTCCACTACCACCTCGCGGGGATCAAAGGTGCGCCGGAACATTTGGACTGATCCGAGATGCATCTCATTGCACCCTGCCATGGGGTAGTAGTTGAGGCTGGTCTTCACGGTTCCCGGCATCGTGGTGGTACTTTGTACGTAAACAGGGTGGTTGATCAGGGTGACTGTCTCTGACTGTCTGGTAGAATAGGAATTACCTCAGATAGTGTTGGGCAGGTTGTGTGCCCTTTTGAAGCCACGCTGTCGACCATCTGGGTCCATGCTGAGAACCCCATGGCATCTTCGCTGCAGGCAGAACCGAGCCTGCCACTCGGATTGTCCATCAGGTGAGACATGCATCCCTCGTGAAAGAACTCCAAATAGTCATGCTCACCGTGCTCTGCAAGGGGTGTGATGTCCTACCTGAATAGTGTCTTCACGCAGCCCGTTTTCAGGCCACCCAACAATGCAAACAAAGAACCCCGATGAAACCCTAGATGAGATCCCGAGCTACAGCTCAGCCCGCCGCATCATGCCTCTTTGGCATGTTGGTGGTGCACAGCAGATGACAGGCTCATTGCCGAACTTATTTTTTTTTTCTCTCGGTACTGGCCAGCGCTAGCTCATGCTGCCTGTATGCTGAAAGCGAGGGCATCATGCCAGTGCCTGTAGGCAGCATCCAATTGGTAGTATCCTATGTTAGCAATTCTCCCTTCGGCTCAAACTGCAAGTTCCGGTAACTGAGAGGAGAGGCTACCTCCTCAGTCACGCCGCACAAGACTTCCTATTTCTAGACCCGCGCCATCCTTCTTGATAGATATCAATTTGCCTTTTTTTTTCAGCCACTTCTTCTGCAATGACTTTCCACATATCATACCTCCTTGAACGGGCCGCCAGCAACAATGCTAACAATGGCATTGTCGCCTATCCTCTCAACGATGGCAGCCATCCTCGTAAAGTCACCTACGAGGAACTGCATGCCCTAGCCACAGCAAATGGCAAGCTCCTACGGGAGCATCTGGGCTGTCGAAATAAGTTGATCGTTCTTATTCACTTTGAGGACCACCTAGACAACATCATTTGGCTGTGGTCTGTCATCTATGCCGGGTATACCCCGGCCATGTCCACTGCGTTCCCTCGCGAACCACACCATTGCCAGAAACACCTCACCCATCTCAAGACCCTCCTTGATGATCCCATCTGCCTCACCAAGTCATCCCTGTTGAGCCAGTTTCCCGAGCCCAGCATTCTTACCGTTCTGGATGTGGCCAGCCTGGAGGGTGCACCAATCACCCATCTCCAGGCAGGACCACGCACTCCAAGCCCGGATCTGGCCCTCCTGATGTTGACCTCAGGAAGCACCGGCAACGCCAAAGCTGTCTGCATTACTCATCAGCAGATCAGCGCCTCACTATCAGGAAAAGCCTCCGCACTACCAGTCAACCCCAAGGAAAACATATCATTCATGAACTGGATCCGACTCGACCATGTCGGAAGTCTGGTGGAAATCCACATGCATGCGCTACTTGTCGGAGTGAATCAAATTCATCTGCAACCAGAGGACATCATCTCCAACCCGATGCTCTTTCTCGACACCATCCACCAGCACCGGGTAGCCCGAACATTCGCCCCGAACTTCTTCCTATGCGAGCTCGTACGCGTCCTGGAATCCGGCGTGCCACAAAGCCACCTGGACCTCAGCTGTCTGAGATACATCGTCTCCGGAGGCGAAGCCAACCTAGTCAGCACTTGCGTCTGCATCTCCCTGCTCCTCAACACGCTCGGGGCACCAAAAAACGCAATCATCCCCGCCTTCGGCATGACAGAAACCTGCGCAGGATCTATCTACAACCTGTCCTGTCCCTCCTACGACGTCTCTCAAAAACACGAGATCGCCTCCGTCGGGCAGTGCGTCCCCGGCATCCGCATGCGCGTGACCGGCGAAGAAGGCAATCTGGAGATATCCGGCCCGATTGTCTTCAACCGCTACTACAACAACGAGCAAGACACAATAAAATCCTTCACTTCCGATGGATGGTTCATGACCGGAGACACCGCTGTCATCGACTCCGACGGTCGACTCAGTCTCTCTGGCCGTACGAAGGACCTCATGTCTATCAACGGCGTCAAGTTCCTCGCCGCCGAGCTGCAGACTGCCATCGAGGAAGACACTATCAAAGGCATCCAACCCGGCTACGTCGTCTGCTTCTCCAACCGTCTCCCCGGGGCCCACACGGAACAGATCTGCGTGATATACCTCCCCACGTATTCCCCGGACGACATCGAAGCGCGATACCGCACCCAAGCAGCCATCACACGCTCCGTCCTCGTCTTCACCGGCGCGCGTCCCTACGTCCTCCCTCTCGAAGAAAAGCACCTCGGACGAAGCACTCTCGGGAAGCTCTCCGGGGCAAAGATCCGTCGATCCCTAGACAACGGCGAGTACAGCGCAGCGGAAGAGCACAACGCCGCCCAGATCAAAGCCTATCAAGACCAGATCTGGTCTCCACCCGCCAACGAAACCGAAGAAGCAATCATGCAAGAACTAGAACAAGTGCTCGATTTACCAGAAAAGACAATCGGGATGGAAGCCACGATGTTCGAAATGGGTCTTACCTCTGTGGCGCTCATGAAACTGAAACGGCGTATCGAGCAACGCCTGCAGTTTAAGGACATCCCGCTCATCACTATGATGAAGAACCCCTCCGTGCGAGCCCTAGCCAACGCCCTGCGCCAAACCCACACACCCCAGGAATACGACCCCGTCGTTACTCTCAACGCGCAGGGTAGCAAGTCTCCACTGTGGCTAATCCACCCGGGCGTCGGCGAGATCCTTGTCTTTCTTGGCCTCGCGAAATTTATCACCGACCGGCCTGTGTATGCGATGCGGGCGCGGGGTTTCAACGAGGGGGAGACGCATTTCGAGGACATTGCCGAGACGGTGGCCACGTACCACACCGCCATCAAGGCGAAACAGCCACAAGGACCGTACGCCCTAGCCGGATACTCCTACGGCTCGATGCTCGCGTTCGAAGTAGCGAAGACGCTCGAGAGCGGGGGCGACGAAGTCCGTTTCGTCGGGGCGTTTAATCTGCCCCCGCATATCAAGTTCCGGATGCGGCAGCTCGACTGGACGGAATGTCTACTCCATCTGTCTTTCTTCCTGGATATCATGACAGAGGAGTTTTCGCAGTCTATTCGCGAGGAGATTACTCCATTGTCACAGCCTGAGGCTATTGCGTATGTGATGAAGGTGTCTGATGCGGCAAGGCTGGCGGAGTTGTCGCTCGACGCGGAGAAGTTGCTCCGCTGGACGTGTCTAGCCTATGGCCTTCAGAGCATGGCGAGGTACTATGATCCCACTGGGTGTGTGGCGCGCATGGATGTCTTCTATTGTCATCCGTTGGCAGTCGTGGCTAGTGGGAAGCAGCAGTGGTTGGAGGAGCATTTGTATCCGTGGAGGGAGTTTGTGAGGGAGGATGTCAGGTATCATGATGTTAAAGGGGAACACTATACGATGCTAGCGCCGGAGCATATTCGGGGGTTCCAAGCCACGTTACGCAAGGCGTTGGTTGCGAGGGGCTTGTAGGGTCTGTTGTGATTTGGGCGTTTGGAAATTCGATTCTATATATATGGATTTCTTTTTTGGATGGTGGGTGAGACGCCGGACGGGTGTCGGAAACCACCATTATCCCGCCTACTGGGGTGTCTGGATACCTTTTGGTCGAGTGTTTTTGTTTCAACAACAGGTATATAGCCTCAGTCGTTACTGTTAGGTAGATTGTTATGGTTTTGATTAAAGGGTTTTGATAACATAGTTATTTTGCGTGTGAAATTTCATGCGAATCTTATGGATGTACGGAGTACTACTTGATTATTTTCTCAAGCGCTTCAGATCTTGACAGGAGTAATACAAAGCCACTCACTGTTCAAGTTGGTTTAATTTTGCATACATTATATGTAATAACTGGACATGTCGGCATTGTAGGGGCAATGAGTGGCATTGAACTCTGTGCGGAAAGATTTTAGAGAGATAATAAATAGACCAAGAACAATAGCACTATCCATAACTGTCCTCAGTAAGAGTTCTCGATTGTAAATATAATGAAATGGTCTAGCACTTGAGACTATCTATGTTTCAGCTAAGAAAGAATTCTAACTAGTAGACGACAATATTCCATCCACTAACTCTCTATCATTTTGATGTGGAAGCATCCCGCCCCAACCAATCAACCCCCACTCCCATCCGCGCACCAAAAAAAGAAACCCGCAAAAACATATGACAAGAGTGGGATTCGAACCCACGCCAAATTAATGACTAGGAATGTTCTTGAGAACATGTATGATCAGATAGACCTGACCCTAGCGCCTTAGACCGCTCGGCCATCTTGCCTGTTGATATCTAATGCCCCTCGCCACCAATACACAATGCACTAAACCCCTGCCCCCGTGCTCTGCCACACTCCCTCACCATCCCCGCCATCCGCCTCCGCACTTCCCCTCCCTCCCCTTCTCCCCCCTCCTCTAAACCCCTCACCACACCCCCCCAATCACCCTCCCCCCTCTCCTGACTCATCTTAAACACCCCCTCCATCCTATCCACCTGTACCTCAATCCCCACGATATTCCGCTTCAGAATCCGGATATATTCCGCCGGCGCATCGTCCACGCTCCATCCCTCCTCGCGCCCGTCCTGCCCGTCATACCCCATGATATGTTCTTCGCAGTGCCGGGATAGGTCCCGGAGCTGAGTATCTAGGAAATCGGAGGTGGCGGGGCAGGATTCGCTCGAGTGGTAGATTCGGGCCCGGCCGTAGATTTGCACCGAGGCGTAGTTCCATGTTGGGGCGACTTTTCCGGTCGTGGGTTTGGTCGTAGTGTAGTATTTCGGGGTGATGTAGCTGTGGTAGGGGGAGGTGAAGAGGATGAGAACTTCAGGGTCGAGGGGTTGGGGGGTGGTTTGGGTGGAAGGGGGTTGGGGGAGGGAGGAGAGGATGGCTTGGCATTGCGGGTTGGCTTTGGCGATGTGTGCGCGGAGGACTGGTTTTGAGGACGAGGGTGGTGAGGAGGGGGGGGGAGAGGAAGGCATGTCGAGGATCCAGGGCAGGTGGGTGGATTGTTAGGAGCGGGTGGGTGGTCGAGGGGATGGCGGTGGTGAGTATCCCCAGCGGGTTGTCTCGGTGTAGATTTCTTTGAGGTACATGGTTGTTGTTGTTGCTGTTGGTGAGATGGTTGAAGGTTGGAAGAGGAAGTGGGAGTAGGACAGTAAGGGAAGGATGCAGGTCTAATATAGGGATGGGGGCGGGGGATCCTGCAGGATTCTGGGGATCCGTGATAAGATCGCCGTGCGGGGTTGAGGGCAAATAACCTAATTCGGGGATGGAACATGGGAATGGGACTTGGTTGGAATAATCTTAAGTTTATTGGTAGAGTTTATTTGTTCATCATGGGTAATTAGGCTAATCTGATACTGGTAGGAAACTATATACAAAGAATGGATGCTCATTGGCATGATCAAGGACGCGTTGGATCAGCCGTGCGCTGCTATACGCGAGTGGATCTGGGTTGGAAACAGTGTCTGGGTTGAGGCTTCGGATGATCGGACGCTGCGATTGGAATAAAGACCGACGGGTGGATGATGGGTACAGATCGGTATTTCGTGCCGATCAATGCCCACATTGAGCACCTCGTATGGTGTTTCGTGCTCGTCGACTTAGGGCAGAGCTGCCGGTGGTCGCATTTGGAGAGCCTGGCGTCTCTGCCCGCGGAAGGGCCGCGGTTCCACGGATAGACGTCGAAGGGTGTTCGCGAGGTTTCATGAGCAATTTTCGGTCGCCGAGCCGAGGAAGAAGAGACCACGATGGGGGGTATGGACGATCCGGCAGGAGGGTCCGGAGGCAAATATGAACAAGAAAATTGCAAGACGCGAAACAAATGGGCCCGGGATAGACAATGACGACGACCACTCATCTGGCCCGGAAATGCTGTGCTGGTCCGGGCAGGTTCCGTGGAATGGGGGTCGACCCGAAGCTGGAGGGTTCAGGCCCCAGTCAACCGAATGGATGATCAGCGGTGCTGGATCCGCCGAAGCCAAAGTCGGGGGTAGACGTGCATGCTGCTGGCCAACCTGCCCCTCAGTGATACATGCTGTTCCTCGTCTCCCGTCCGGCACTCAGGTTGCTCGATGCCGAATCGTACGCCCGTTCGTGCGTGACCTCGATCGTCGTGTGCTGCAGCACCACTCCCATCGGGGCCATCTCCACCCCGTTCTTGCCGATCATCTCCTCCGTCGAGTCGCTCCGGCCACGCGCAATCGTCGTCGACGTGGGGCCCTTGCCGTCCAGGCTGCCGCCATACTGGTGGGTGGCGGAGGTCTTGTTGCGTCGACTGGTCTTCTGGCTGCTGTTGTTGATCCGGGCCTCGGGCTCCAGCACGACACTGCGACGACTCAGGGTGTACATGAGCGAGTCGCAGAACCCGCACAGCGCCATGAACGATCCGGCGAAGCAGAAGTAAAGCACACTCGGGGAGTTCCCACCGGCGGAGGCCATGCGACCGGCGGCAAGGGGCAGTGTGAGGGAGATGTAGACGACGGGGTAGACCGCCATGTGGAAAATGACGCGCTTCAGGCGATGCAGACTCTCGGCGTTGTGCTCGCCCAGAATGGACGATTCGGCGATTCTCTTCCGCAGCTGGATGAACATGATGGCGTACAGGACAACGGTGAAAAATTCCGAGGCAAAGATCCAGAAGTAGTGGGTCCACAGGCGCATGGTTTCGTACTTGGGGGTCATCCAGCACTATTGCAAGGGTGTTAGAAGCGCACTGAAAGGCTACATAGAGAGAAGGCAAACTTACCCAGGCCACGGCGGGATACCACACGTACTGGCCGTGGGCGGCGATCGGGATGATGGTCATAACCACCCCAAAGACCCAGAGGCCGACGACAACGGCCACGAAATGATTGTGTTGGATTTGGTATCCCATGCTAACGTGCAGGAAGGTATGGGCGGCGATCGCAAGCACGAACAGCCCACTCATCGGGTCTCCGATCTGAAGCCAGATCCCCTGCAGGAAGCATGCGGGGTCCGAGGCCCTCAGCGAGTTGGTCGCGATCCATCGCAGACTGATGATGAAACCCAAACCCTGGATGGTATCGGCCAGAACGAGGTTGAACATCAGCACGACATACTGATTGTAGCCGATGTAACGCTTATAGTATTTCTTCCAGAAAATGAAACGGTAGGTAAAAAAGACAAGCAAAGAGACGGTGCAAACGAGCGACAGGGTGGCCAGGGCCGAGATGACGATCAGGCCTTTGGTCTGCAGCTCCGGAAGAGGACTCATGACTGCCTGGCCTTCATCTTCAACGGAGGAACGAGCGTGAAGGGCCATGCTCGGATGCATCTCAGCACCGAGCAGCGATTGGATCGCCAGGGACAGCATGATGGGGGGGGAGGGAGGGTGGCCAAGGGTTTGTTTCAGGCCTTCTCCCACCGACGGGATTTGGCCTATATAACCACCGCGCACTCGACCCCCTGGGGTTGGCACAGTCGCACTGGAAGTTGCCCACACACACTAGGGCCAAATTAGGAACTTCGCGTCAAGTGTCGATCGGGGGGATTGTGTGGGTGAAACGATTCAGTCGTAGCGCAATTACCGGGGCGGGTTCGGGCATGTGCCGAAAGGGGTTATCACCATCCGTTATGAGTCGGGGCAGGCTCCGCTGCTGGCCTCTGCTGGGACGAGCTTGTCGCGGTTAGCCTCATGCGCGGAGCGAATGGCAGGCGACCCAGATAAGACCAAGCTTTATAGTCGCAATAGTCCCCTAAGACGGCTCCTTCTTCCAACTTCCAGGGAACCAGAAAGGGTGGCCTTGGAACTGATCTGGCGAGAGCTGGAGTCTGGACAGTACCCTAGAAGGCGCCACTGAAGCTTGTCGTCAGCTCGCACATCCTCGCGCCGGGGAGGCGTGTCCACCGTTTGCGCGCAGGATGCGCAGCTGGAGCCAAGATCGACTGGATGGCAAATCCAGGATGGCGGATGGTCAACCCGCCAGGTCGCTGCTATTGTTATATCCTGGATCGGAGTGCGGCAGCGCACAGGTGCTGTGGCTGTCTGGGCCCTGGCCGGATGACAGCAGTCAGCACCGGGTATCGAGTCTATCGACGCCCAGGAACCGGAACCAGAACCAGGATCCTACATCCACCAGTGCTGTGCCTGCCTGGTGGTTGAACACCCTTGACCAACCTTCCAAGTCGGGGATAGGGCGTACCAAGGCCAAGGACCTCGAGGCCCAGTTGCTAAGTATAACCCCGCTCTGCCTGGAGGAGGAGACGGGCCCACTTGGCGCGGCAGCGCCAGTCAGACACCGGATAGCGAGTCAGAGAGTGGCACCCGGGTTTCATAGTCGGGCCCTAAGTGCGAGGAGCCGACCTGGTCGGGTTGTGCCTCCCGCGACCTGCCTATTTCTGTTTGCCTCGTGCTACCGCCCGTGTGATCTTCGTATTTGGCGTGGAAGTAAACTTCGAAGAGTCTGCACGCCCAGGGTTCCGATTGTTTATGTGGGCTATTGTTCTCGCGTGGCGGTGGTTGGTGGTGGTGATATTCAACAGAAGTACTGCATTCACCGGGGAGTTGGTTTTTTTTTTCTCCCGCTCCTCCCCTCCTCCTCCTCCCCCTGTCGCCTGGCGAACGCTACAGTGGGTGCCAGCACTGGGGATGGAGTGCCTAGGTACATACGTAATTCGGCTAGCTTTGTTTCTGTTATTCTCACCGTTGATCTACGGAGTAGTACTCCGTACGGAGTAATGAGTCCAGCTCAGATAGATTGCCATCGAGGACATGGACTATGTAGTCCCGAATCTGGAACGGTGTCAGTGAGATAGTCCAGACAGTCCACCATCGGCATCAGCATGCTCGGTTCATGCCGAAAACCTAACACGGGACTCAGGGTGAGGACCTCGCGACGGGACGCAGAGGCAGACCGTGGTACGGAGGGCAGCGGGAGGATAAAGAAGCTTGGAAGCACGGTGTGTCCGGCTGCCGACTCCGTCATGGGCCCGCACTAGCACCATTAGCGTCCAGGCTGTGGAGGTTGATCTCCAGGGGAGGCGCAGGACGGGCAGGACGAGCAACCAGCAATCAGCAATAATGAGGGCACGCCGAACAGGCACACAGAGGCACACAGAGGCACGTCTGCTCATGCGCGATCCGCGGCTACGATCCGGCAGGCAGAATAGTCGGGCCGGGCTGCTACGGAGCGCTTCCGGGCACCGCCGCGACTCGGCTAGCTTCGATAGTTGCTCGCCCACGGCCTGGGGAATGGGGATCGTCTCTCTGCGCTGCTCTCCTCTCCTGGATCATGACTCTGTTGTTGCGCTGACAGTGTTC